TTTGACCTTCATTGAGAATACCATGGATGCTAGACAATATCTGAGCATTTTACAGACACATCTCGTCAGTAGTGCACAGAAATTTGGATTCTATGAGGACAATAAGCCAATTTTTAAATTTTACCAGGACAATGACCCGAAGCATAAAGCTCATATGGTAAGAGTTTGGCTGTTGTACAACTGTGGAAAGGTGTTAGACACTCCACCACAAAGTCCAGATATGAATCCAATAGAAAATGTGTGGTCATATTTGAAAAAAAAAGTCGCAAAGCGGAGTCCAAAATCAAAAACTGATTTAAAAGCTGCTGTACTGGAAGAATGGCAGAAGATTCCAGAAACATACATACAAAACCTTATTGTTTCAATGAAACGGCGATTGCAGGCTGTATGTGACGCTAATGGCAGCCACACAAAGTATTAAAAAAAAATATTCCTGTTTTTTTAACATTGTTATTTAGTAATAAAGTTTCGTGTAAAAACACTTTATTGACAGCATAAAATTTGAATGTTTTTAGTTTTTTAATTTTATAAAATGTTTGGGTAATGTTATTTAACAATTCTTTTTGCCATTAAGTTCTAGGAAAAATATAGAATCGAAATAAATTAGAATTGAAAAAAAATTCTCACTTTTAGGTACATTTATTTTCAACTAAACCCAAAAAATTAGTTTTTTTTCGTTAGTCAAAACACTTTATTGACATACTGTATCTCCGCGGGGAGATCTGTCGTTTTGAAGCGACATAGCTCCGCGGGGAGATATGTCGTTTTGAAACGACATATCTCCGCGAGATAATTTCGTTTTGAAACGACATATCTCCGCGGGGAGATATGTCGTTTTGAAGCGACATATCTCCGCGAGGAAATTTCGTTTTGAAACGACATAACAACGCGCAATGATATGTCGTTTTTAAATCATCAGAAAACGTTGATTTTGAAAACGAATCGGTTTTTGGTCAATTATTTTTTTTTACCCATCGATATTGAATTTCTTTGAATGCTAATTGATAATAGGGATCCGTGCAAATTCAAAATGATATAAAACTTCAAAATCTCACAGAATTTACACGAGATATTAAAAAAATAACATCAACAAAGTTTTGATTTTCGAACCGACCCCGATTTTGACAAAAAAAGTGATGAAACCCCTTGCTTTTTGGTCGATTTGGGTGAAAATTTAGATTTTCAGTTTCTTGATGCCAATTGATAGTACTGATCGTTACGAGTCGAAAATGGTATAAAATAACAAAATCGGACATTATTTGGCGGAGATATGCCAAAAAATCATCAAAAATGGAAAACGAATAGGTTTTTGTTTAACAACTTCTTTTAAGCCATCTATTTTTAATTTGTTTGAATGCCAATTGATCAGATTAATTCGGCATTTCAATTTTGAATTCAATAAAAATATGTCTAGAATTGGCGGGAGAATTGTTATCGAACGGTTATCGAATATACCATCAGTAGATTTCAGCCCTGGCGCTCAGCTGCGCAACTGCGGCTACGAGAATAGAAAAATGAATCAATTGAAGACCGCAATTCTTTTGTTGGGGTTCCTTTGCCACAACGCCAACGGCGACTGCGGCTGCAACAAGCTGGAGCGGGATGCCTCCGATGCCACCCAAACTAAATCCGTGGAGCAGCCGGCGCAACAGGTGTGCCAGCAGCAGGGGCGCAATAAAAATAAACATTATCGCGACTACTATCCGGAGGCTGAGCCGGAGATTGCGGGCATGTCCCTTATACCTGGCGGCAGTGTGAATATTGGCACAGATGAGCCGCATTTTGAGGCGGATCGAGAGGCTCCAGAGCGTGTGGTAAAGATCAAAGACTTCTACGTGGACAAATTCGAGGTATCCAATGCAAATTTTGCAAAATTCGTTGATGCCACAAACTATACGACTGAAGCGGAACGCTTTGGCGATAGTTTTCTGTTCAAGACAATGTTGTCGCCAGCACAGCAGGCGGAGCTGGAGGATTACCGTGTGGCCAATGCGCTTTGGTGGTACAAGGTCAGCGGCGTTAGCTGGCGTAAGCCGAACGGCATCTCTAGCAATTTGCAAGGTAAGTTTTTCACCATCTGACAACATGCTATGACTGCATCTTCATTGCTTTTCAGGTCTGGAGCAGCATCCGGTTGTGCACGTTTCCTGGCGCGATGCTGTGGCCTATTGTGCGTGGGCGGGCAAACGATTGCCCAGCGAAGCGGAATGGGAGGTGGCCTGTCGGGGCGGCAAGCAGCGCAAGCTATTCCCTTGGGGCAACAAGCTGATGCCCCAGGATAAGCACTGGCTGAACATATGGCAGGGCGAGTTTCCCGATGGCAACACCGCGCAGGATGGCTATCTATACACATGTCCAGTAGATGAGTTTCGTCAGAACGTCTACGACCTGTACAACATGGTGGGCAACGTCTGGGAATGGACTGCGGATCTGTGGCAGGCCGGCGACACCAGCGAGAGCCCAAATCGCGTCAAAAAGGGCGGCTCCTATTTGTGCCACAAGTCCTATTGCTATCGCTATCGTTGCGCAGCGCGTTCCCAAAATACCGAAGACAGCTCGGCCAGCAATTTAGGGTTTCGATGTGCCAAGGATGCGTAAAATTAGTTCAACTATTATCTATCTAAATTAAGCTACTTTCAGAGACCTGCTGAGCTGATTTTTGATGTTAGTTGGTTGGAATGGCATTCGGTTATATTTGTTATACTACTTATGGATTTCCTGGCACACCAGTCGATATACTGGGTTATATTTATCCTTTGGATACACATGTAATGCACTTTTGGTCAATAAAGTGATATCTCTGATAAAGTTATACTTATTTTTGTACATAGCTAAAGTAACATATATTAATAATGCTGCGACTTGGAACAAACCTTAGATTTGACGAAGCGAAGAGCAGTCAACAATTTGCATGGAGTCCGTGCCGCCTGCATTGTGTATAAACGTGTCTAAGGCAATTGTCTGTCTACGTTTTCTACGGCTAATTATCATACGAGATCGTCGACCTCTCTCCAACGTGGTCTCGTTCTTGCGTGGCGGTGGCTTTGGTTGATATGGCAAAGGCACATTATTCATGCGGCTGCAATGAAATAAAAAAGAGTTTTTAATTGCAATTAAATAGAAGGTTTAGAGATCTGCACCTTAGACGGCACATCTCACATGTTCCATTCTCGGGATGAGTGTGCTTGTCCCAGTAAATATCTCGCACCAGCATGCCGCACCAGGCCTTTGTGTGCAGGTGTATAAACAATTTATTTGATTTGTACTTCGGATCTTGGGCGCACGACTGCACATGCCGCAGCCAGCCTCTCTTTTGGATGCGCACCAAGCCACAGCGAGTGCAATTTGTCCACTTCAGTATATCGTTTATGTTAACCCAATCGCATTTCACCGACAGCTTTGGCTTGATGTCCACATCGGACATTGTATCCGCTTCCTGCTGCCCCTCTTGATCATCGTCGGCCAGATCTATGATAGACACCGGACTGTTGATGTTGACGTTGTCTTCTGTAACCGAATATGGTACGTGCTCAATGTCGTTGAGGCTTGCCTTTGACTGTGCTGGTGAGTCAGGAGCCCGGTATATTTGCTCCGTACCGCCGTCTGTGCTAGTCATAGCGCGCAGCGGCGATAATGGTGTATTGTCGGGGAACGGCGGCCAGGGCTCCGAATAGACAAATACATGCAAAGAGCCACCAACACAGGGCCCGTGTGCCTCCATGGGCGACAGCTCACGCCACATATTGCAGTGAATGCATTTCATGCGAGGTGGCTGCGCACAACAAAAGCAATGATCCTGATGGGCTCCCGCGAAGGCGAGGCACAAAGTCGAATTGGCGTTGCAATCCAGCGCTCCACATTTGCAACAGACGCATTGCAACATGATTTAGAGCTGCGCGTTTGTTCCTTAACTTTGAGCAAAACTGTAATCAACAGTTTATAGAGCCCTTTGCGCAACTAAATATGTTAATGGCAAAAACAGAAGATGAAGAAGTTCTTGCTTGCCGCCAAATGTTAAGCAGCCCATTCAAATGTTTTGCTCAAAATGGTAATTTCAATTTAGTAAGTCTGCCAAATTAGCACAATATTTTTTATATTTTATCTATTTATTATTATGTTTTGGCAAACAAGTTTCCAACTGCGCAGCGAGCACGACGAAAACGACGTGCTCAAGTGACGCGATGAATTAAAAAACTATCGATAGGTTCAGGGCAACACTGGCCTGCTTATTGTCGAAAGCTATCGATACTCATCAAGCCGCTATATTTAAAACAAAATTTGAATTAAATGGCGGAGAACCGAATGCGAATTAATTAATTAAAAATAATGAATTGCCTTTGCAGACTACCGCACTTGTTTTTTTTTCTGGTTATTTTTTAAAAATTAAGAATTAAACATACCATTAGTCGTACGTCGATGTTTTTATACTTTTGATTTCCACAGATTGAGATTGATTGATCAATAAAGTACAATCCATTTTATGGTTTTATATATACAACATTTGTTTGTTTTACATGGCACAGAGGGCTCTCTTTTAGCATATTTTCAGGCCGCATTGTGTCTACTTAAATATGTCGTGTATGGTCATTCCCTCGGACTAAAAAGATAGTTTTATCTTGATATCCGTGCCGGATGTTAATTGCAACCACTTGATCATTGACCAGAGCTATGAAATATCGAATTTACAGAGTTTGGCGCCAATAAATGTGCTACTCACCAGAAAAGAAGATAAGACATCAATTGTTAGCCGCCACAACAGATCTTGTATAGATTGTGAATTGAATAAAGAGCACTGGATTGTATATTGTAAGTTTCCGTCAGACACCGCCAAATTGATTTGGTCAAACTTCTTGATCCATTTTTGAAGTTCACATTGTGTTATCGATATTTACACGCAATGTTGATGTATATATTATCGAACGTTAGCGTTACTTATCGTACACGTGGCTACCGTTAAAATATTGTTAAAATTTAAATACCGGGAAGAACTTACAATAATCTTAATCAGTTTGCAACAAGTGACAATTATTTAATATATATTATTTTTATTACTATTCATTTATAGTCTGCGCTTAAGTTAAATCGCGTAATAATATTTATTTGTTACGAACAGTATGGTATGGCTAATTATTATTTTTCTTGTATATTGCTGACTATTGCCTTGCGCAAACGAAAATGTTTTTTGCAAATCTTACAGATTTTGACTATGTATGTGTATATATGTATGTTTTTCGGCTACATGCTAGGTTTGCGTATTATTATTAGTTATGGGTATACGAAGCGTTAAAGCTATTTCTATGATATACTACATACATAATATTATCTGCTGAAATGCTTTACTGATACAACATAATTTTGCGTGTGCCGCATTTTGAAATAGAAATGTACAAAAGGAAACCTAGATTTAAATATTAAGGAGTGCTATTTACAGAGACTTAACTTCAAAAACAATAAATATACGCTAAATGTAATCGTTATCGTATTCGTAATCGTAATCGTAATTATTATGCATATTTATCGCAAAATATATATACATATGCGTGATCCATGTACACATATATATATGATATCGGGGGATGTGCATTTTTCTGATGTTTGTTCCAAAATATCACAATGCAAATGATATATGTATTCATATCTATATATATATCTATATATATCTCGAGGATCGATGCGTGCGGGGATGCTGTTGGGTTTATTGCATAGTCAAAGCGTGGTTACCAGAGTAAGGAACATTGCCAGCTGCCTGCCTGGAAGACCTTGGAAGCCTACGAAATACTGTCTGCTTAGGACCGTCGCCTCAAGGCACAGCTATCAATTCAGGCGCCATCTCCGGCGGACAATTTAACGGCCTGCAGCATCACCGTCTTGAGATCACGCGCCAGATTATTGATGTGCACCACGGAGTCGACCATTTCTTGGACGGCACTGCCGCTGGGGAAATGTGCCGCCGCCTTCTTGGACTTGAGCACGCAGGTCTTGAGCGCATCGGAGAGTGCATTGGTGCAATGCAGGATCTTCTCGCGCAACGCCTCCTTGGAGATATTGCGATGCACATCGTCACCAATGCTAACCAGATTATGTGCGCTGACCACAACAAACTTGCCGTAGGCGATGAAAAACTTCGGCGGCTGATTCTTCTCCACCGTCTCCAGGAACGAATCGATCGCCTGCAGCAGATTGCCCATATGCGTGGTGATCTGCTGGGCATAGTAGCGCACCACCTTCTTGTCCTTGTCCGTCATCTCCGGCGACTTGTTGGGCGCAGCTGTGGGCGTTGTGGGCACCGCCGTGGGCACCGGCGTGCCCATGGCCGTGCACTCGGCAATCTTGAGCGCACAATCGAACTGGGTCTTGAGGCCGGCAGGTATGGCATCCCGCAGAGCCTGATTCTTTTTGGCAGCCGCATCCTTGGACTCGAAGGCCACATAGTCGTAGTCCTCCAGCCACTCGGCGCTGGCGCGACTGCTGCCATTCTGTGAGCCGGCCTGCTCTGCGGGCAGCTGGCGCTTGAACAGCAGCGAGGCATTGCCCTGAATGAAGCTGGTCGTGGAACGCACATCCTCGGTGAGTGTCTGGGCGCAGGCCATCAGCTGATCCAGACTATCGGGTGGCCGGCAGCCGTGCTTCTCATCGCTGCGCGCCAACTGCTCAACGGACCAGCCGCCGCCCTGTGCATCCAACGCCTCGGAGGAGTCCCGGATGAGCTTGTTTGCATCGCGCAGGGCACGCACCAACGGCCGCAGCTTGAGGGCCAAATTCCTGTCTTCGGAACGCTGCGCATTGCCCAGCGCACCCTCGCCAAACTCGGCCAGATCGTGCAGCGCGGTGCGCAGACGCAGCGCAGCCAGCCGCAGTTCCATAATGTGCGGCTCCAGCTGTGCTCGGGTGCGCCAATGCGGCACCACAAAGCTGAGCAGCCGCGTTATGGCCTGCGTCGTCTGCGACTGCAGTTTGGCCAGCGTTTCCAGCGCCGAGTTCAGCTCCAGCGGCAGCTCCTTGGTGCTGCTCAGCGCTTGGCTGCCATTGGTGGGCTGGTGGGTTGACATGCGCTGCTGCTGCTGCTGATCCTGCTCCTGGAGCGGCGGCAGCAGCGGAAAGTCGTAGCTGGCGGCATGCGGCCGCTGATGTGGCCGCACGGGCAAAGGATTACGGCGCGGTATATCATAGTCCGGCATGTTGGCCAGCGAGCTGCGATTGGAGCTGGAGAAGCTCAGCGACAGGCTGTCGCTGGTCAGCAGCGAGGATGCCGAACTGCTGGGTGTCAGCGTGTGTTGCTGCTGCTGCTGCTGCTGCTGCTGTTGCAGCAGTGGCCGTGGCACATCGTAGGACTCCTCCTCAATGGACATGGAAGCGCCGACGCTCTTGAGCGAATCGAATCGGGCGCCCAGCGCTGAGCCCGTTGTGGGCGTTCGCACGCCCTGCCTGCCCGGACAATCATAGTTGAGGGGCACGGGCGTCGCCGGCTTGGGTATGTCGTAGGTCTCGAACTCGCTCCCGTTACCATTGCCATTGCCATTCGGTGTGCCCATCATCATGCCAAGGTTCTGATAGATGCTTTGGTTGCCGTAAATCTGCTGAGGATGCGGTGAACGCGGCGCTCCACACAATGTTCCCGGCGAGCTGTTGTAGATGTACACATCCCCGTGCCGCTGCGGCGTTATGACCTGCAATTGGAGAAGAGAGAAGCGAATTAGAGAAGTACTTCGAGTGGGTAGCCTATTGGCTTGGATTTAGGGCTTGGGCTTGGCACAAAAACAAATACGGTCCAGTTCGACGACCCATTCAAATAAATATATATATTTTAAATTTTACATGCGAAGTCTTCTTGTGAACTTTTTCATTATGAGGCAACCAGATATGATATATATAACAATTACATAGGTAAATCTTCATACAGAGCACAAATTTTAGGGTTAAAATTTCCGAGAAAACGGAAGAGGAACTATTATTACATTTATTGTTAATCATCGGACATATTTTTAATATTTTGCAATAATAATTTTAATAGTTTCTTTATTTATCGGACATTTTTTAATTTGATTTAATTTATATTATTAAAAAAACGTTTAATTGGTTTCTCAGTTCTTTTAGTTTAAAATTTCAATTGTAATATTAACTGAAATTTTAGTGGTAATTCCCATTTTATATATATTTTTGTCTATAGCTGTCGTTGCCGTGGCTAGGTAAGCTCGTGAAACTCCGCCCTTTACTATGCGTGACTTGTATCGATTTTCACAATTGTTGTTATAGGACCTATTTCGCATTTTATGAATGAAAAGCGAAATAGCCGAGCACGAGTATGGCGCACACCTGTCTGTCTGGCTGTAGTTAGTCCCAAGCAACTATCACATTTTGTTATCAATTAATGCCAATTAATGAAGAAAGAAAAATCAGGCAGACAAAATGAAAAGTTGAGCTGAAGAAAACTTCACTGTTCAATGGGAAAAACTTGACTGTGTATTGGACTCGAAACGAAATTGCAAATAATGCAGCTTGTCAGAAAAATACGGGGAACTGTTTAGAGCATGCGCACAAAAATACTGGGATATTTAGCGGCTGCTGCTCAAAGCCGTTCAGTGTCCAGGTAAAATGAACCTGAGCCTGAGCTAAACAATAAACCAAATATTGGGAAATCGCATAAAAATGCAATGGGAAGAGGAGGGAAACTTGGAAAGAGCATAATTCTGCAGTCAATGGGCGGATATTAAGTAGGGTATTAACAATAAAAAAGAAATTATCAAGCAATATGCTGATGCCACAGAATGCATAAAGAACAGAACCTTAATATTATTTACTTATTTCTAATATGCCGCGGCATGACTGGGCCATCTGCTCGATTGATGAAATATTATTACAGCCATATGCCAAATTCATCAATAGCCGCAGCTACCCTGTTTATAATGAGCACGCACCAAGCTGCCACGCCTACCGCCGAAAAAAAAAACAAATAGGCAGCATATTGAATCGATTCGCAATTAGGTAAACCGTAAAAGCCAACCCCTAAGGTAGGGACAGGGGCAACCCTTGGGCGGCTACCTGAAGTGCATCCACTTTGGCGGCAGTTGCCCTTCGTTCTCAAGTCCGTTCGAGTCCTTTTTCGAAGTGTCAGTTGACGCGTAACACGAGTCACAATTCGCCAACAACAAATATGCAGCCTCAAAAGGATACTCACATATATAAAAGTCGAACCTTAAAACAGCTGCAACACAAAAACGGCACTAAAAGGAGGCTCTTATCAACTGGGATAAATCAGGGCAGCTGAACTTCATTTAGAAGTCAAGACAAGAAAGAAAGACTAATTTCGGCAAGCCGAAGATTAAATGCTCTTCTAGACATATGACTAAGGGCTTGGCGTATAGATGAGAAGAATAGAGAAGCTCATATTAGCTGAGTTTGTTCAAAATGAATTGTAATATAGAAAAGGTATTCCTACAAAAAGTCATTTTCCCCCGATTCCATATAGAGATGTACATATAGAAGTCCGATAGGACTTGGTTGGAATATTTTGAGAAACAAACACATATTTTATACACAAACTTACTCTTGTGTCTGTTCTTTCCTATAAAAACTTTATGATATAGTGGTCCGATATGGCAGATAACGATAGTATCAAAACGGAGAGACTAGTTTCCAAACAGACAGTCGGATAGGTGATCATATATCGACTCGAATGTTAACACCGTTCAGGAATAATAGATATGCACGCTGGCATTATCTCCTCCTGTGCGTTACATAATTCATGCCTAAATAACAATACTCTCTGCAAGGGTATACAAAAGGAGCCATTGGGTAACCTGAGACTCGGTGCACAGCGTTTCTTTTGGGCTCGGCCTGAATCTAGTTTTTATGATATGGGTCAGCACAGCGGGATTGGCGATGCGGCCTAGCTTCAAGGAGGTCACTTTTCTTTGATTTTTCATGCTGATTTTTCCAGGCAATTTTGCGTGTCTTTTCCATTTGTTTTTTGTTTTTATGCTGTTATTGTTTGTCTGGCCTCGATTGGTGCTATGGAAAGCGACTGTTGTTCCCATAGATCAGAAATGTATGTTTATGACATATTTGGGGCATCTTTTTAATGGGTCTCACCACCTGCCACACCCCTCGCCCACCGTCCCGCCCATGTGGCGAAATGGGCCATTAAAATGGCCGCCAGGGGGCGCAGCATTATTAAATTGGCAACAGCTCGGTTTGTTAGTTGAGTTCTGTCTTTCTTTGGCTTTCGGCCATTTTTAATTGGATTTTGATAGTTGAAAGTTGAAATTCACAGCACGATCGCAAACGTTTCTTTTTCGTTTTTTACATTTTGTTTTTTTTTGTTTTTTTATGGCAGGATTGTTGCTTCTGTGCGAGAATCTTTCAAATCTTTTCGACTGTCACAACATTCTATGCTTGTTTTTTATGGCCCTGTTTAAATTCCATGGAGCACAGAGCACGGTAGCCGCACAAGATGTGTATCTTTGCAGCTCATTTGATGCATTTCAATGCTGCTCTCACACCTTCCACACCTGCACGCACACGCACACAAACATATTGGAGAAGGGGCATGGACAGTTCTTTGACAAAATTTCAACATTTTCTCACGTACCAAATACAAGAACAAAAAAACATTTGTACAAATATGCAAATTGTTGTTAAGTAAATTTAAGCTGGTGGCTATTGAAGAGAGGCCGGAGAGAGGAACTGCGTTGGAGTGAGTAGCTAAAATGCCTGCAGGCTGTATCTTTAAATGATACCCTGTACCTATTGAGTAGAGGGTGTTTCAGAGACTGTTAAGCTGTCACACAGGCAGAAGCTTATAAAGTATATATATATATATATATATATATTCTTGAACAGCATCAACAGTGAAATCGATCTATCCCTGTTCTTTGCTCATTTGTCTGCCTTGTTCTTGTACTCTCAATGAAGCAGAGTATCTAATAGTCGCACACTCCCGACAAAAGCACTCTTACTTGCTTTTATTTTTCTGTGGCGTCATGCTGAGATCTTGCCTCAATCAGTGCCGCAAATTTCAAGTGCTTGCCTTTGAAAAACTTAATTAATGGCTATTTATTGAGGTCCAGAGCTGATCATTAGGTTGAACTGGAACCGTTAATCCCTAGGATTGGCACTTGCGACCTTGCCATATATACACACATTGTGTGTATTTATATATATTTGGAGCGCAGGCGATTTCACAACATTCAGATGGCAAAGAAATCCGCATTCGCATTGGCTTCATCCTCCTCCTCCTCCTCCTCGGAGCGGGGCCAGGCCTTGCCTTAAGGGGCAGAGCTCTTCTCTTCTTTATAAGTTCGTCTAACTTTGGTCATGCACAAATCTCGGCAGAGCCAAAGACAACAACAACAACAACAACAATGAAGAGTTATTGTTGTCGCATTTGCTTCTGGCTGGCATTTTGTGTCCATTTTTGGTCATTGAAATAAAAATGACATGTTTTCCTCACACACAAACTCGAAAACTCTTTTTGGAAATGCTCCAGCACCAGCAGCAGCAAACAGAGTCTCAGCTCCAGCCAGAGAGCTGACCACATTGCCATAAATCTTGATGCAGTTGGCTGCTGTTGGCCATTCGGCAACTTGACTTGGACTTGGACTCGCGGACTCAGCGGCAGACACAGACGCGGACGCGGACGCAGTTTTATGGGCAGTGCGTGACCACGCTTGGTGGAGTCTTGGTCTTTCAGACTCTTATGTGGGCTCAAGGAACTCGAAATTGTCACAATCTTGGCCGCTGCCTAACGGTGGAGCCGTCCGCTTGGCTGCTTCAGTCTCTCGGTCTCTCAGTTGCCGTCTCGGATTTGGCCACTGTCCCCGCTGGGATTTATTTTTGGTCAGGCCGACAATGAGACGTAAATATTTATGTGGTTTTACTTATTTTGTTGACGAGACTAGAAACAGGCATCCGCACAATATTATAAATTTTGTTTGTATTGATTATAATAATGTGTTAGGGTTTATATTTTGGCCATAGCCATAAATTATAATCAGTTTATTCTTTATAAATAGTTGATTAAATTTTACTTCCAATCAAATCTTTTAAATCAGAACTGAAAGTAATGGAAAGAAAACATTGAACTAAGTGAAACATTTTTAAAACTAGAAATTTCAAACATAAAATAAGCGATAAACGATTTAAATGAAAATACTAACTATGTCAGATAATACTCAATTATAATTTTTGAGTCTGGCAGTAAAGAATTCTCATTCTCAGTTAAAGAAATTTTGTGTGGATTTTAAATCATTTGCACTTGAATTAAGCACAAATTTTAAAGTTTCTTATGTGAGTACTAAGGAAGTTAGCAGCTAGGTTTATAGCCTTGTCTAAGGGTATTCAAGATTCGACTTTTGAAGAATCGACACATACTCAGCTTATCTGGCCGGCTGGCGAATAGATTTGTTGTGGAACGTGGGCTGGCCTCGCGGCAGACACTTGCAGCATTTGGGCTGCCCAACAATGTTGCGCAACAATTCAGTTCAAGACATTTCCGTTCTCAATTAAGTTTGGGGAATGCAGCTGATACGCACATGATATGTGGCACTCGGAACACAAAGCTAAAGACGGCTTAGACGGCACTTGAGAAATTGTTTAACTCGTTTCCACCTGTTGGCGGCACTCAGGTTTTGGTGGCTAGCCAACTTGGCTGGGTCCCAAGTCAAGTGTGAGAGTTGAGAGTGAAGTTACTCTTCCTCCCCCCTCCTGCCGTTGCCCCGGCCAGTGTCAGCTGCGTTAAGTTTTTGACGCTTTCGAGGGGAACTTTTCAATTTGACGTGCGATTTTCCTTGTGTTACTTGTGGCCGAATCAATAAAACTTAACAGCATAGACAAGTCAAATTGAACAAAAGCGGCATTTAATTTTTTACAGCTACCACTTCAGACTCCTCCAGCTCACCCCCCTCGTAGCCACACACAGCCAGCGGTGCATTTCGCTGTGGAAATGTCGAGGTCTCGTCTCCGTCATAGAAAGGTTTCACCAGGCATCAACGCAATCTTCCACTGCGCCAGTGGCAACAAAATCCATTGCAATTTGCAGTTGCAGCTTTTGTTGATTGGACTCAAAACCGATGGACAGACAACAAATCAAATGACTGATGGGTGGATGAGGGGGAGGTGGAGGAGGCGTGGTCGCTTCTCCTTCTGGCGCAGCGTTTATTTGAAATTTGAATTTATGGTTTCACTTGGCTGCAAAAAGATTGATAGCTGCCGATAATGCGAGGAAATGTTTACGAGACTCTATAATTTGTAGTTTATTTTATTTGATTTGCTGCGCCAAGTGCGAGGAAAAGCGAAAGTCTGAGAGACCAACAGACCAACAGACCCATAGATTATACAAAACATAAAAATAATAAAAAATATAAAAGAAAAACCATCCACACAGATGGCAAAGTTCAAAGCTGGAACGCCTCCATTGCATGTGGTGCTAATGATAATGGACAATTATGAATGCGGTTATGCAAGGTCCAAAGTGCTGGAGGAGGAGCTGATGGAGGAGGAGGAGGCGGAGGTGATGGTGGTGGAGGAGGAGTGCACTGACACGGATTGCCAAATGAAATTGAAAGGCCTGAACAAAACAATTGCCATGGGTAATTGTCCATTGAGTGGGTCAAGCAACACGATGATGTGTTGGAGATATGGCTGCAAACCCGACAAAAATGTTAAGTGGTTCGCTTCACGGTTGGAATCAATGACTAAACCCGCTTTTCACATCCATGGAGCCAAAAAATGACTTGTAGATTTGCGTAATTAAATATATTTTTAAGCATCACAAATATTAAAACAATATTTTTCAATAGGGTTCAATTAAGGCTTAGATTCAGCTTGTTCTGCTGCGGCTTAAGATCCGTTCTCTAACTCATACCCATTTAAAGCCTTTCTTAGAGCATCCCAAATTCGTTTTGGTTAAAGTCAACATGAAACTTGAGCTAGCTGCTTCAGTTATTGGCATATAGAGTTTCATGTTTTTGCAACAAATGCCAGCTGTCTGGCCAAGTGCAAATTATTCGTTTCCTTTAATTACGGACATCGATTTCGCAAATCAAGGGGAGTGAGACTAGTCCATGGAGCAGATGATCAACTGAAATGCAAATAAAACGCATGTCCAGCTGACAAATTGGCAAATTACGAGCCATATGCAAAGACAGGCCAAAAAAAAAGTAGGAAAAACGGAAACCCGTTGGACATGCGCACACGCAGCCTGCAGCTGGCGGCGATGCAGTGCATCAGCCCCAGCCCCAGCCCCAGCCTCAGTTTCAGCCGCAGCATCCACTGGAATCTCCTGCCGACTCTCCACTTGGCTCTTATTAATTGCACAATTACGACACGCAATTGACGTGCAGAGTGAACGATGGCCGGGCCATAATGATGGAAAACCGGCGGACTCGAGAAATTACTTTCTTTCACTTTCCAGACGGATATCATAATTCAGAAAAAAAAAATACAAAATTAAAAAAGTGCAGTAGCCACGACCCAAAGACGAACAAGCCAAAAATAAATATGCCAGACGATGCCAGAAATGCCAAAAAACCAAAAAAAGAAACAGCAAAAAACAGGAAAAGAAAGTTAACTTCGACAAACCGAAGAGTAGATACCCTTTGCATCGAATATCTACATATATTGCTTACGATTTTTAAGTTATGTGACGAGCACAATAAAGCTTGTTTTTTTTGCTGAGTTTGGGCAAGATATCGCGAAAATCAAACCATTTTTTCTTACTAAGACTTATTTTTCGACCGATTCTACCTATTGATTTGATATAATAGTCCAATGTTGATATGATTTAGTTCGAATAAAGGAAGAGCATTAAAATCCAGTTTCGTTATGATATTTAAGAATACAAAGAATTCGAAATGGAAGAACTTAGCTTTAGACCGCGCGTTCGTTCCAATTTTAGCTATATGATATAGTATACCGATCTGGTCAATTTCCATATCCGATCGAACACATCTCCTACTCTGCGTTGCACATTTTATGACAAAGCTTAGCTACCCTCTCGAAGGGCATCAGTAAAATCAAATTAAATGAAAACTAAATGAAATGATATCAATTAGGAGCAGCCCCAGGGGCGTCTCGAGGGAGTTGGTTGCCATTAAGGAAACGCAGACGAAGCGTTAAATTAAAAAATAACAAAATTAAAAAAAAAAAAAAACAGAAACTGCGTTTAACCTACCTTGTTCGGCGAGACATGCCACGATCTGCGTGCACCGCGGCCCTGGCCGTTGGATGAGGTTGAGCCTGTGGATTGGCTGTCCGCATTGCTGCCAGATGCACCCGATGCGCTGATGATGGAACCGTTCTCATAGATCTCCGCCGAGCAGATGGAACTGTTCAAAGTGGCCGTACTGGCCGCCAGCGAGGGTATTGGCGAACTGGCCGGCGATGGTGAGAAACAGCCCGAATCGTACGAGTTCAAGATGCGTAACCGGTTGCCGGGGCAAAGACCCTGTAAATAGACCAAAAATAAAACAAGGTTTTAGAACTATGCAAAAATAAAAGCAAGCGAATTTTAATAATTATTGCAAAGTCATTTAAAAAATAGATTTGATCTTTAAAATAATAGTTAACTTAATCTCTAAATTGGTTTCAATTGGGTCTTCATGTTAAATTAAAATTAAGCAGAAAATATTAACTACAAGACAAATTTCTTAGATTAAGTTTATAATTTCGGGCTTTAAATCAGAACTTTGTAAATTTCGACCTTAACTCGATTTTGCTGCGAATTGAGTACAACATGCTTAAATATTTCCCGAGTGAACTGGGCTATCAGTCGAAATTCATGGCTGCCACTCATTGAGTCCAATTGATTTCGATTGTTTTTTTATTAACTGAATGCCGAGTGCATTCTTAATTAATAAATAATATATATATAGAAATAAAACATATAAAAAAGCATAAAATAAATTACAATTTTTTAATTGGCTGTCAAGCTGACTTAAAATCGAGTGCAGTTTATTTCTTTTGCCGCCGATCTTTTGTCAATTTTCCTGACATCTGTGTGAGACTTTTTGATGTGATATACGAACTGAGTTTCCATTGCCAGCTTCAAAGAGGTATGAAAAAATCTTGTCAACATGTGTTGCAGCTTATTTCAATTTTATTTTAGCCGTAAACAACGAAAATTGCGCCCCGTTTCTTTATTTTTTTTAGCAAGTGCTGAATAATTTATGCTACATTTTTTTTTTGTTGAAAACATTTTTAAATTTTTTAGTTTTTTTTTTTCATTTTATTTTAAATTTATGTATGAAAAACATTGTTGTTGCCGCTGTCGCCACTCAATTGGCCGTTTTTGGGTTAATTGTTTCCATTAAAAAGTGCGGCTACTTTTTAATTAACGACAATTGGCCGACACCGAGTATCTGAGTATCTGTATCTATGTATCTGTGTATCTGTGTATCTGCAGCTATGCATGTGTCTATGGCCATCTAAAGCGATTTTGATTTCCATTTTGATATGTGTTTTGACACCAACAGACAGACACCGCCAGCCTATCACCGCATGAGTGTATTCATGAGTGCTCGTGAGTGTTTGAGTGAGTGCTGAGTGCTGAATGCTGAGCCCGGCCAATTGAGTTGTTAATTAAAAATATGTTCGGAGCTGCAATTTTGCCAGCGACGTGCAAAAATGTTTTTAAGCTTTGCCCGTTGATCAGTTTTTAATTTAGACAACGGGTGTTGGGGGGAAACTTTCGGAGTGCCATTTATAAGTTTTGTAGTTGGGTTGGGTCTAATCGGGGCAGAGCTTCAAGGTTGCGTATTTTGAACATGTGAACATTAAGAGATCACAGATTTTTTGCCAAACAATAGAGGAAATACAGTTATTAAGTTGAAGCAGGGTAATCTATGAAATTAGTGTAGAGAAATACCAGAAATTAAATTTTTATAGATTTCTGTTATCTGAAAAATTAATTATTAAGCATCGATTGCGGTTGGTCGGTCTCGCGTTTACTTTATTACCAGCATCTATGTATTTCAATAAATAAATAAAACTTATCCAACCACAACCGAAACAATTTTTAATATTATGCAAAAACCCGCGTTCTATCATTCGATTATGAAAATTATTACTAATATTGTAATTATAATTTACAATTATTCGAAAATGAAACACATCTGCAGTTCACTTCATTTGTTCAATATAAATTGATAAAATGTCAAATTGAGAAAATAAAAGTGAACATTAAAAAAGTAACAAGTGAAATCTCTTGTATAAATATTTTAGGCTTAATGACAATAAACTTTAAAAAAAAGCGCACGTAAACCTTTGTAAAGCTTTTTATTATTTATAAAATATTTCTACGAAATCTTCTTAGAACAAAATTCTTCCCAAATTCTTGGCATTGTTTTGAATATATTAAAATATTTTTTTTTTCAAATTCCAGCACAAATAATAAAAAGTTAATCAACATGCAGAGCATGCTTCGAAGCGTTTGTTTGCCCACTTTTCCGAATATTTTCATGCTTTCAGCCCAATTAATTGATATTATTTTTGTTGAACAAGCTTAACAAACTGTGAAACATTTCATTCCACTTTGTTGTGCGCAATCAAACTAACAACATCGACCTCTTTTCATATTTCACACCCCTCGATCTGCAGCTCACCCCCGCTCCAGGGATTTCTGGACCAGCATGGGCCAGCTTTGAGCATGTCCAAATAATGTTGTATGCACTGTGGTAATCGCTCATAATGCTCGCCGCGGCATTATGTGGATTATTATTACAGCTGCGGACACAATTAAAGTGCCAAATGTGAAATTTATATGCAACCGGCGTGCCCCGCATGCGGCGGGTGGCGGCCACGTGCCCCGAGATGATGTTGATGAATCATGAACATAACGAGGCCTGGGATCTGTCCAGACTCTTTACTCAACGGCGGAGTATTACAAAATTAAATTATAAATTCAAATTAGGTTTGTTTTTTTTTTTATTACCAAATGGAATGCAAAATAATTGGAAAGGGCGGTAGAACTTATGCAAATGCCTCGATTGTTTAATTACAGATGCACAGCTGAAATGGGGCGTGGCTGTGCAGCCATTTGGCAATTAGGAGCGGAGCACAGAAACCCGAAGAAGGAGCAAACAAAACAAATACGCGGCCAAAACAGCTCGCAAAGGCGTTGCCCTTTAGGGCTTTAATGGACGTGCACTCGAAGAAAATAACACGAATCTTGTAGTTAAATCAAGAAAAATGCTGTTAAAATTTGCTGAGTATAGAAATGTTTGAGCCTGAGCGAGAAATTCGAATTACAAGAACTTGTTTAATACTTTGGTAAATAATATAACATCCTATTGATATACTCTGAATCCATTGAAAATGAGTAAAAAAGGATTAAGAGAGATGGAATAAGGAGAAGAAAGCATCTCTTGAGGTGCATATATTTGCAATAGCTAAGTCGAGATGCTCCTAAGATGTAGATCCCCTTAGTAGAGCTCGTTATCAATCAAAGTCATCGATAACTCACCACGTCTCTAAGCAATCGATATAAATCGATATCGAAATTCTGTTAATTGAGCAAACCTCTTCAGTATTAAAAGCTAGTGTCAGCAAATTTGACAACCATCCTCTGGAATAGCATAAAAAGATCAAGCAGAAGAAGGTTCACGTTCATTCCCGACTAGAGCACGCTTAATCGTTGCTATAATTTATTAATTAAATTCTCATTCTCGTACTGCTTTCTCTCAGTGCACAGCGAGATGCCCTCTGCAGGGCAGCTCCCAGTTGGAGCCCAGTTCTTATCTAAGCAACTCACCTGTCGGTTGCGCAGCGAGCAGAGCCACCAGCCCTCGATGCCTTCGGTGTTCTGTTCGATGACTGTGAGGATGTCGCCCTTCTTGAAGGGCAGCTCGTCCGGATCGTCGGCTTGATTATCATAAATGGCTCTAGCATAAAGTTTCTGCAAATAAATCAAGCAAAACGGAGAATGCAACAAACAATTAAAATCATTTTCAGTTATATCTTATATTTTGTGTGTCTTATCAGAATTAAGCAATTTTTATGCCGTGTGCTGAGATTTCGGATGTATAATGACCATAATGAACTGCATGCAAGGCTTGCGGCCAAAACTTCTAAGAAGCCGCAACAAAAAAAAAAAAGAAAACATCGAGAACCAGCCCCGAATTTCAATGGAATTTCAAAGACGTGAAGCTTGACCAGCGACTGACCGACCCCGACATTGACTTTAACTTTAACTCCAACTTTAACATTAAAACCAACTCGATCTTGGACTAAAGCAAAACATCATTCATAAGAACTCGTCTGCGGTTTCTACAGGTAGCATTTTTTTGTGTTTTCGGTTTTTTATGGCATAAATAAATCGCTTTTTGCTGGGCAAAAAAAATTGCACAAAGTGCAAAACGGATTTTGGGCAAACTCAAAAACAAAGCAGCTTAAAACAAAGCAAGCTCTTGTTTTTTTTTTTTTTTGGTTTTTTGTCTTTTAGCTCATGCCATGCGCTTCATTAGTTTACCTGGAATTTCAGGTCAACTGCGATTGTCGGAGCACAGCCCACAGTTCGGGTAGACCATGCAGAAACGGAGTTGATTGAATTAGTTGGAATGCTTGCGGATATACGAGTTATCAAGTTTCAAGCACTTAACAGCTAGCATATGATAATTATATGATTTTAGGGAATAACAGCAATTTGTTTCAGTGCACAGTAGTTGCAGTGCTACACTTAAAACGACATTCTAAACTCTATCATAACCGGCTTGGAATTCATAACGTTTTGAGCTAAACAACTCTAAAGATCTAGCATGTGCTTATTGCATGATACTGGGCATTAACAATAAAGTACATACACTTAGAGAAACACAGAGATTATAACAGAGTGTAGTAAGTATAAATAACTCATGTTGTGGAATATTATTTAGATCAATTCAATGAAAAATACTTTTTACAAGACGCCCAACATATGTATCTTATCATAAGTTTTGTAGTTGAGTCGTTTACTGAGACATTTGCAATTGTACAAAAAGTAAATTACTTTTCAAATTAATAATTTCGGAACTTTTATTATTAAAAAATATTCTGTTGATTATAAGTTATTTTTAATTAAAAGTCGTTCTAATCACATTCTTGTATATTCACAAATTGCCTTCATAAAAGCGTCAGGACGTTGCTCTCAGTTTAATTTCACTGCGAACTCAAAACTTTAATACTTAAACCGAGCCGGACACTTAACCTTTTCTCTAAGTGCATAACTTTAAATACCGATTACTGCCGCTCTACTGTGGCTATACATGCACCATTAACAGTGAGGGCTTTTCCATTGTTGCCTCAACAGTTCCATAATCATCTGCCACATTCCTTAGATACGCATTTAAACGATGCAACTTCCCTTTATTAAATCGTTTCTAAAGCAATGCGCACGACTGTGCACTGTATGGGTCGGCGGGCAAAGGTTTCTTCAATGAATGAGCCGATATATCCATGTGTTTATCTATGGGTGTGTGTGTGTATCTGTGTGTCGGTCTCGGGTTAAGCGTGTTGCTTTTAATTTCGCCACCGCATCGAACAAAAATCCAAAACGAACGTTTTGAACTCCAACCAAAGCCGACACCGTTGTCGTTCCCGTTGCCGCTGCCGTTGCCGCTGCCGTGACAGCCACTCTTGTCAGTTGGGGGGCACTAGTACAACTTGTAGCTGGTCCCCCCTCTTTCCCTAAAACCCTGTGCCCCCATCCTTTCGCTTCATTTAACCCTCTGCTCCTGGGCTCATTTAATATGAGCTGCGCACAAACCACACACACACACACACTTGCACACAAAACTCCAGCGATTACAATAACGCGCGATGAATCGTCGTTGAACTTTCAACTCGGTTTTGTGTGAGTTCGGAACCCGTTTTGACAACAACTACAAGTACGATTGCTCTAGTCGGCACTGCCGACTAGAAGATACGCTGCAACCATGAACATTAGTCTCTCAGGCATCTAATTCTGAACCTGGGTATACTATTTGATTATATAATTCATTCTTTTATCTATTCAGCTCTTATCAGCTCCAAGCTATGCATTGAGAACGATATTTGCAAATCGATAATTATTGATTTAATGCTCGACTCGCTTAATGATACTGGATTCTAATTGTGGATCTGTGTATACTATCCGCTCCAGCTCTTATCAGCTTTAAGCTATGCTTACAAAACAATAACTGCAGATCGATAATTATCGATTACGTAAGCTCTTCTGCCTGTTACATACATTTGCCCAAAACCGTGATACCCCTTCCTACCCATTTCCAATTGGGCACAGGGTATAACAACTATGGGTAGGGATATGCGCGTTTTGTATATTCTACTTTTCAATTTCGAAAGCTGAAACCGTTCAAATGTCAAAAGAAAATGAGCGCACTTGAAGTTCATGTGCATGGGCAATTGATGTGGCATGGAGAGGGCCAGGGCTGCCAACTGACACTTGAGCGTTGCGTTGTTCAAACAACAATCGACAAGCCGCAAGCCGCAAACAACAACTGCAACAACAACAACAACAATAGGCACAAAAATGCGAGCTAAAGAAATATTTGTTAATTTGCCTACGACAAATGCAATCGATGCATGGAGAAGTGAGAGTGCGAGCGAGATGAAACATTCGGAGATCGCTCTGCAGCTGCCAGGGTTGTCATCCACTTGCAGTTTGCTTAGCTTTCTTCTTCACACAGATTTTTAACACAGCGCTAATTGTATAGGCAAATATTTACAGTTGGGCGTTTGGTATTCCAGTTCCGCTCGGTGCTTGTGGTTTTAGTTTCTGTTGTTGTTGTTGTTGTCACAAGCAAACAAAAATCAAATATCGATAGATTTCTGTTTGCTTGACGCGACTTTAATTGGTTTGCTTAGCGCATTTTTTGACGCGATTTACAGCGGAACTTTTCAGTTCCAATTTTGGATGGGAGCTAGAAAATTCGACTTGTTCAATGGAATTGCAGGAGTGAGAAATTGAACTGAAAATCTTTAAAAGCTCGATTTTCATAGGAGATTTGAAGGAGTTTTGAGTAGTTTGCAGTACTCTCGATAGATTTCTTTTGGCTTGGAACTGGAACTAGAAAAAACGTTTTCCTCAATGAAAGTGCAATCTTTAACTGATCAATAATACATATACATCATCTTTTGCATTAATATTGTGCAGCAGCTTTTAAAATTGCATTTACAAATTATGCATGTAAAATGCTGTCATAAATCTGCCAAACAACAACAAAATTAATAAACTTAATTTCTGCCTTTGAGCCATTTTGTGTGTGTTTCCTTTCATTTGGCGCGCTTCAAGCTTAAAGTGAAAGAGCTCCATCGATTTATTGTTAAAAAAAAAAAAAAAAGAGCACGTACATATGTATGGCCACAAGAGCTACAATAAGCATAGCTTTAAGCCAGAGTTCCAGTTCCACATAAATCGCATGTACGCAGATTCGGCCGAGAGACAAACAATGCCAACATTAAACAACAAAAATCTTTATATTTCTTGTTTATTTCTTGAGCGCAATTTCTGTATTTTTTTTTCGGCATTTCAGCTTGGCTGGCTACGTTGAAAGGTTATTCACCATATGGGCCATAAAGTCGAGACCAAGCCAAAATTTGGGGGGAATTTGTAGAAAGCGTCGTCCATAAAGCACACACTGTACATTATACGATCTGTTGTTTCTGCTCAACTCCATGGCGAGTGCATGACCTTACCCAGTTGAATTGCTACGTTTTGCAATTTCTTGAGCACATTCAAAGTCCATAAATAACCGAATTCACATAGACAAAACTCAAAACTCCCCCAAAAACAAAAAATAATAATAATAAAAAAAAAACCAACAACAGAAGCCGCCGGCGACGACGTCTTAATGAGCACTTAAAACTCGAGAAAGAAAAAACGCTGTGTACAAATAAAAATTTGGCAAAAAGCTGCAAATAAACCAAAAAAAAAAAATAAAAATAAAATGCAAAAAAAGAAATACCGCAACGACTTTGTCAAAAATTGTATTTAAGCTGTGATGAGCTTTAAGTCGCCCCTCGACATGACAATTTGACTTTGAGGAGCCCATTAACCGCATTAAGTCAAACAAAACTAAAAAGTTGAAATGCCAAAAAACGAGCAACAAAAAAATCTCAAGCTAAATGTATACAAAATCGTATATAGAAAATGCTATCGTCAATAACACTTTGTGATAACCCCCCCGCCCCGCTGATAAGTTGTGTGTTTTTGGTATATATTTATTTTTGAGGGTTTTTGCTCATCGCGTGACTGATAAACTTTTGTGTTTGTTTTTCTTCTTTTTTTTTATATAAAGTATATATATATCTGCTTTTAATTAATCCAATTGGCTCAATATCGATCTGTCAGCTTTGTCTTATATATAAATATAAATACATATATATTATTTACTCTCTTTAAACTTTTGGCTTCATTAGCAGAAATCATTTTTGTGACTAGGCGCTATTTATTTTTGTACAGCAAACACGTCATTTTTCGTTGTTTTTGTGGTCAACCTTTGGACTAAAGTGTTTGTGGCTGATTAAATGAAATCCAGGAATTTAATCTGTTAAAATAATGTGACAAAAACTTTAAAAGATATATTTGTTATCTTTGGTACGCCGAGCATGAAATACCCTTGTAGATATATGGCTTGGATATAGACATATGGCTTATATATAGGTAAAAGCTTTAATTCCGCTTTGTTGTTCCCATAGGAGCCTTGTGATATCGTATTAAGATTTGATACGGCTTTCCAGAACACTTAAGGTCATAAGTGCTAAGTTTTTTGAAGATATCTTGAAAGAAGGCAAACTTTACCATTTAAAAAGTTAATTATCTATAAAGTTATATGATATGATTTTATTCATAGCTCAAGATATATACATGAACTGAATTTCAGTCTTGTGATGAAGTCTTTCAATCTGGCCGATGTCAACATA